ATATAATTATATGATTGGTTAAAAAATCTTTTGAAATTTAAAGAAAATTTTACTAAGCAAAGGTTTCTTTTGCTTCTCAATAAAGTTGTAAAGAAGGTTTTTCTGGTTTTAATACTAGTTAGATTATCAAAATTGGCTTACCATAAATCACCAGATAAGGTACCCTCTTGATCAGTACCTATGATCTATACCGGGTATGTTTCAAGGTTATTGGATGTGGTATTTTGTAAAGTATCTGAATACGAATAAATAATGTTTTATTTTTTTTAGCTATTTATTATTTTAATATCTATAGCAATTCAGTATCGGTAATATGATTCAAGTATATATGTTTGAAGTGAGAATTATTTTTTACAGATCTTATATACCAGGAAAAAGACTATTGAATGGCTACAAAAAGTGGAAAGTAATAATTTTCTACCAATAAGGCCATTTAAACTAATAAATTAGTTTTCATAACAAACTTTTTGAAAGTGATTGGCAACCTGGCTTTTAATTTTATTTTCAAAAATTATATATATAAAAAATATAGAAACCTACCCAGATAAAAATTTTTTTTAAAAGTTTTGTAAAATTTGACCTGGCCGGGTTATAAGAACTAATTTATTAAGTTTGTATGGTCTAATTTAAAAAAAAAAGAAAATAATAGGCCTGCAATTGTGCTTGCTGCTAATTAGAAGCGTACAATCACAGGTGATAGTACTTTAAATTAATTTTTTGTGCTTAAATTATTCATAGATCGAAGAATAGTTGCAGGAAACTTAAAATAGGTAAATATTTGATAATTCAGGTTTTATAATTAATCATGTCACTATTCAGTTTTAGTGCAATATTTATAATTTTAAGGTTAATTGCATATTCAGATATTAGATTTAAAAACTATATCTCACTAGTAAGTTTATTTAAACTTTGAAATTTGTGCTATTACAGATTATTCAATCCATTGATTCACGAAATTTTCTGTCACATGCTGATTATAATAATCTTCGAATTCTTCATCCTAAACCAAAAAATCTTGTTGGGTCAAGGAGTCTGTACTAAGACATATGGTTGAGATGAGAAGCTTTGCTAAGGCAAAAAATAGTGTTAATGCGAAAGGTCTTGGAGGTGAGAATGTTGTTGAGACAAGGAAGTTTGTTGAAACTGAAGGTGCTGTTAAAGTGGGAGATTTTGAAGTAGGAGGTGTTGTTGAAATGGAAGGTAATGTTGGAACAGAAGGTCTTGTTAGGACTAGAGATATTGCTGGGCAGGAGGTTTTGTTAGAACAGGAGGTCTTGTTGGAACAGATTTTTTTGTAGTTCAAGGTCTCGTTGAAAAAAAATATTATTAAAATTGAAAATTGTCAATTTAAAATTGTAAAAACAAATTTTTTACTATTATTAAAAATATATTCATTTATTTCATTATTTTTAATATGATCATAATTAAAAACTAAATCTTTTTCTGAACTATCAGTTGCGATTGAGATGCTACAACATTTAAAAGAATATTTAATTTGTTGAGTATCAATAGCATCCCATGCACTTTTAACTTATTTTGCAATAGTATTGTACGGAAAACGCTTAATTCAACCACTTTCAGTTAATTCTCTTACTTCTTGTGCAATCTATTTATTGTACATAATTCTAATCTATTAAAAAAAAAAAATAAAAAAAAATAAAAAAATAAGCATCTTTGTTTTAAAAGATTTGTTGATTGATATATCGAGTGATTGAATCTTCAATGTTAATCCTCCGGAGATAATTGCAATGTTAGTATTTTTCTTATAAAGGCTATTTTTAATAAAAAAACTAAATGACCTAAAAAGAATCTATTACTAATAGCGATCATGGATTCTTAAAACATGGTGTGTGATTTTTTCAAATCTTTTCTATCCAAAAGTTCATTTCTATTTCGTTCATCCATTCTTTTTCATTAGTTCTAATGATTACACCTTGTGGGAACTCAAGACATGGAATATTCTTTAACTTAAAAATAATTATTGGAGATAATTTGTTACCATCCGCTATACATGCAAGTATGACAGACTTTTCATAACCACAAGTTCTAATACTAATAGTTTTATTTCTCTTATTATCAATAGTTACATTGCTTGGCATATCAAATGCAAGGAGAGTTTCATCCATATTGCCCATTAATGATAAAGAGTAATCATGTTGAAGCTGATGATATTGAACAAAATTTAAAAATTGCTATCATTGTGTTTCTAATTCTGCTGGCAGTTTTTGTGCAACAGTAGTTTTACAGTAGTTACTAAAATTTTGACGTCATAAAAAACCCTCAAGCCACTTGCTACTCTATTTAAACTTATCAATATTAGGATATTTATGAATATATTTGGAGCTTTTGCTAACGCTGCTGCTTTGGTTTGTACTATAGTGCGGCTAACCAGTTTTAATTTAGTATATAGAACCTGAACCCATTCAGCAAGTTCTACTTCAAGATCAGAGAAACTTGGTTTAGCACCAATGTTAAGACGCTTAATATGAGGCTGAGCTAACAATAACTCTTTTCACTTAATTCTCTAATTCTAAATTTGCTTAGGTTAGATTTGAAATCTATCAGCTATTCCACGTACCATAGTACCAGAAATACTTTCAAGGTAAGAAATTATAAAAAGTTTTTCTCGGATGAACTACTGTCAGTTTTTTTTTTGTTGGAGTTTTGTTAATAAAATACTTTCTAAATGTACTATAGTAAAAAAGATAAATTTCTTTTAAAAAATTTATTGTTTAAAAAAAGTTTAT